AAAATGTAAAACCGTGTAACCGGTTATTACATTTTCGTAATAAACTGGTACCCGGTTATTACTAAAAAGTAATAACCGGGTACCATGTTATTCCGAAAAATAATAACCTGGTATCCGGTCATTATTCTTTCGTAATAACCTTCAACCCCACTTTCCCCCCGGAGAAATCAAATACCACCGGATGCTTTTGGATTGAAGGTTATTACGAAGAAGTTAAAAACCGACGAAATACAAAAGAATATGGTCTGACGAGTTTGTAACATAAATAAGTAATAGCATGTTTTCTCATGAAATTTGGATAAACAAATTGCACTCAAAACCATGCTATTACCTATACTTATCACACGAATTGTTGTTATGAGCCCTACCGTTAAAAGATGCTGCATAATCTCTGGATACTTTACAGCGTAGTGGAAGACATTTCTTCCCTTGTTGTCAAATATCGATATTGCCTCGTTGCCATTATTACTACTTGTCATTATCTTAACGATTTTCAGTCGACCAGCTTCAGCGACACTACAAAACAATATATAATGTATAAATTATATAATTTATGAATGTATCTTTAGTTTATACAATATATAATATATTATTTTTCCTCAGCCTGGAAAACAAGTCGCATGCGCTTATGATGTGATAATTCACCAGAGGAATTCTCCCAACACTCACCGAGTACATTATCACACCATGAACGCATTAGACGAGGTTTTCTATTTATTTTCTAATATTTTTCAATTATTCACCAAAGTGGAGGTGAATACTGCGAGGATATTCACCGAAACGCAAAGCGTCGTAGTTAATATCCTTACACTATTGACCGATACTGGAGGTTAATAATTATTTTAGCATATACCATAGCAAAACATAAATGACCAAAAAATATCAAACTCATCTATGACATTGCCCTATACCTTTACATGTCGCAATTTTTTGGCGTACGCGCTTATTAAAAAACACATATCTTTTTTAATATTTTCTGGTTTTATAGTCCTCACCTTCAACTTATGAACGATTTATCTTCGAACTATGAAAATTAATTCTGAAGAAACCTATTGGTCTATCACAAAACCTATTAAATTAAAATTGTCTTCCGTTATTCTTGGCATATTTTAATACAGTTTGTATTGCGTAATGCTGCATTGACCGCGTTCAGCGATGGCATTAGTTGGGGTTTAATTTGGTCTGTTATGAAAATTAAGCATTCTCTAGGCAACATTTACTGCTGGATTTGAAAACTAAATTTTGAGCATTTTGATGTGCAAAAAATATTAGTTTGGAATATAGCCTTTGTAATGAGCAGCAATGTCGACTTCTTCTATTTCAACCAACTGATATTTCATTTACAACTCTCTTTGGACTGTTCTTCACTCTTTTTGGCCTGCTGTCCGCCATATTCTAAATAGTAAGCGGCGCTCGTCAAATTGCAAGAACGGCGTCTGCCACCAAATGTCCTATTTAACTGGCAATGAGTTTAATATGAATAATGCAAATATTTTAAAAACAATTTGTATTCAAATTTCAATTTCAGCTCCCGTAATATATAGATGTAAACAAACCGTATTCGTAAGCCATTACTAATTGTTTCATTAGAGATAATTTTGAATACCGTTACACTTTGTGGCTTTCTTCGTGTTTGCCGGAAACCGCCGCTTCGTTTATAAATAGTACAATTATTCGCTAGTCTGAAACCGGAACGAAACGAGAAGCAATTTTGTATTTATCTGGAGGTGAAGAATGGAAGGATTTCCGGTGTTGGGCAAGCAATTAAATAACGTGAAAGCAATGGCAATTTTATTAGATCAATTTTGAAATTCTCCTAACACGCGTGCTTCTGACGAAGACACAAATTTCCTATTGTTTGGCTGCATCTTACAAACCGGATATGGCGCGAAAACCGTGGAATCCGAGGTTTTTGTGTAGTTGTTTTGCTTTTATTTGCTGAAATTATCGTGATATTTTTCGTGTTTCGCCGAACATATGTGAAGCAGTTTTTATTTGAAGCATATAAGTCGCCTTCTTAATGAAATTTTGTTAAGCTTTTGTATCTTTCTTCTATATATGTTTTCAATTGGTATTCCAGTAACTTTTTGAAGTTTTACTCGGCTATTTTAATTCAGACCTCAAAATAGCTGCGAAGATATTCTTCGATTTTCTTGTCCCGTCTCTTGTTGGCTGATATTGCCTTTCATTTCCGTCTTTCATTATTTTGCTTTCTAACAAGTTTTGGATTTAAAACAATTGAAAAATCAAGACAGTACATTATAGCGCCATAATGCACACGCATTAGCGACTAAAATTACGTGCTGTATCCCACTTATATTATGACCACCATTATTAGTCTCATGCCATTCGACCAACGGAAGCTTTGTCTGCCTCTTAAATAAGGAATCACTTGAATAAATATAAGTCAATACCTTGTAATGCTCTTCGAAATGTGTCTCCCATTCACCAAAATAAACAATCTGTATAGTCAATAAAGGGTTCTTACAATAAACTGCCTATACAGTATGTGTACAAGTGTTGATATTGTATAAACTGATTAAGCCGCTCTAAAACGGCCGCGTCGATCTATACATAAGATCCCCGCCTAAGCAACTGAGAATTTTAAGGTATAGAACTCCTATAATATATATCAATTACACAGGCTAGGATGCTTAATTTAGAGGAACCAGAGACTCATGATAACGATCGTGGCAAACTTCAGTCACGAAATACTATACTATTAACCAATCCCAGGAAAGGCTTGTTGACGAATTAATTATTCATTTGGGAACTCCTTGCCATCAAACCTTGTCCAAATTGCAAATCAAATTTGAGAATATTGGACATGAGAGGGTTAAATTACATATATAAATCCAACTTGCACCTCAATGTTTGAGATGCTACATTATACACTTGTACGAGCATTTTCCCCGAGCCGACGGCGCGAAGCGCCGTGCGAGAGTACTAATTCCCCCCGGCTATTTACACCCAGGTAAACGAAAGCATTAGCGGAGTAAAAAGTTCATCAATTATCGCGGGCGTGGGTGACCAACGGTGTTGGGTGGGTGGTCATCCTCACTGATCTCAAAAATATGGCGGACTGTCACGAATAGCGGACACTGATTGGTCCAATTTAAAGTTTGCATTAAAACGACTGCATGCAGACGACAACGAAATAGCAAACATTTCTTGATTTGCTGATTGATAAATTTCTTGCAAATACATTTTTGCAAGATTTTGTAAATTACAAAAGCTCTCTTAGAAAGAAACTGCGAAAGAATCAGCTAAAAGAAGGGAGCCGACGTCAACGAAGGTAAGTTTGATTTAAATATTGATTTTATAATGGATTTAAAACCCGACGGCCTTTGCGTATATATGAAACAACTAAAGAAGACAGCATATAATTTCAGTGTATCTTTAATATTGATTCCCTTTTTTATGATATTGAATTTTTTAAATAAAAAAAAGCAATGTTATTTTCAAGCGAGAATTATTGCAAACTCAAAGTTTATCGATAACGTCATTTTAAAAGGCAGTTTAGTTTTATAAAGAACACTAGTGACTTTAAAAAGTTTAGCGAAGCGTTGCAATTGAATTTAACTCAAAAATTGAGGCTTATATTACGTTTTATAACATACCTAACATGTTGGGAAATTAATAATTTTGTCATAAAGGTGATATTTTTAGGCGATTTTTTATTTGTAAAATATTCTTAAAAAATTATCGTGTTACCATGACAGCTACTTTAGATACTTCATTTTCGGAAAATACAATGGTTTTGTCAGCAAGGCGAGCGTATCTGCATGCATGTATTTTCTAGTACTAGCATATTTATGATATACATTAGGGACCAGTTATTCAAAACTGGATTAGCACGCTAACCCTTGGTTAAATTTTAACCTTCTGTTTTCGTTTATGTATTTCATCATGCGTCTATTTATTTTAAAACTCATTACCATGAATTGGCGACAAAATGGCCACTGCTTGTATACTAATTTGCATATAACCCATATAAAATGGCTTTCAATTTTTAATAGGGAATATATAGGGCGGAAATATTTAGCTCGAAATTATGGCAATCTGAGAGTCCGGTTACTATTTGCCGACCTCGTGATGAATAAAACATTCATTTAGTAATGTTTCGGCAGCATATTTACTCCGATCGGGTATCCCTCCTAGCGGCCAAGTCGTATTCAATAAAATCACTTTTATGCCATCTTCGTATGATTAAACTGCTGCCGAGTGATTTTGTTTTGAGATTGTTGACGCTGTTTGGTGAACCAGATTGACAACAGTTTGTGGAGTAATCTATACCACGTCAAGTATAAAAGTCTAGATCTTGAACAACAGTGCTTGGTGTTTTGCATCCGATTCAGTAACTACCGACTAAAACTTTATATAAGAAAATGGTTGTTTTTAAACCTTGTTGTTAATAGCGCAGGTCCAAGAATAGATTAAACCAGAGGAGGAGTGAGGATTATACCGGCATGCATCGCGGTCAGGCGCGGTATATTTAATGAGACCATTTTAAAACCTCTTACCTGAGGGAGATCAAGTTTGTCAGCCATATAAACATCATCGCTTCTATCTCTATCTCAATTTTTTAAATTAGACAAATAGTTTTTAAAATTTTTTGATAAGCTGATTGTTCCTGCACGCGGATTAAGATGTAGTTTCCTTCTGTTTAGACAGTTCGAGTCTATATTTTCATGCGAAATCATTTTCAAGTTTCGCAATTTGGCGAGTGAATGGATGATTTTATTAACCTCTTTCCGCTTTTGATCAAGTTCAGTGGAATCGTGCCGGGCAGTTAATTCCGATATAGCCACTGTAGTTTTTGGTGATCGTTGTTCGATCTGTTCACAGATCTTTACAATTTTGTCGGCTACGTCGAGTGTTTCGTCAGTACGCAGGTGGTTTGTACCAGTATGCAGAATGATATTGTCTGGCTTCCACTTGAGAGTTGGTGCGACGTAATCAACTGTAGACCTGGGGAATGATCAAATAATAGTTCTGTTCTATTTGTCAGACATTTTCCATTCAGCCAATTTGGAAATAATCGAGTCTCCCATTATGACTGTATTTGGTCGATTCTCGTCGTTACGACCAACACCGGTTTCCGTAAAGATTGAATTTTCATCGTCCTGCGATTTATCTTGTTGGACTTTTACTTTATCAGCAGTATCAATGGTTTGTTTGTCTTTGTTATTGTTCTTCTTCTTATTTTTTTTGTTTTTATTTTCGTCGTTGTTTACGCGTTGAATTTCGCAATCAATTGAATTTTTTTCAGCAACGGAAGCACTTTGGTCTCGTATGAGCAAGTTAATTGTTATCACAAGACTTGCTCTCTCCTCTTCAAGTCGTCTTACATATTCATGTTGTATTTTCATTTTTGCTTTTAAGTCTCTGTTCTCCATGCGGCAGTGCAGTAGATCACTATTGCTTTTTTCTAGTGAGTCAAAGGACTGTGTACAATACATTTATTGCAATACAATACAATACAATACAATACAATACAATACAATACAATACAATACAATACAATACAGTACAGTACAGTACAGTACAGTACAGTACAGTACAGTACAGTACAGTACAGTACAGTACAGTACAGTACAGTACAGTAC